TCACTGGGTCGAGAACTACTCTCCGAAATTCTGGCTTTTATTCAGAACGTGGAATGTCTTTTGTTCGGTTAGAATCTGTTACAGCACAAAATATCAACTATGGTCGTAGTGCTCCGCTCTGTTGGGAGCTGGTATCCTGTTTATTTCTAATTCTTATTCTACTCTGATGTGTACAATATAATTATAGATCATAGAATTATCTTTTTTACGAACTGTGAACCCTACTATCTTAAGATATTTGACAATGATATTCTGTAATATTTACTATTATATGTTGTAGTTGCTTTTATTTCGAACACTATATCAAACTAATGCCATAACAACAACAACTACAACACGAATGAGTACAACACATTTTAGGTACTAAGTGTAAATCAAGAGTCTAATGCTGAATGCTGAATGCCGCTTGCCGCACATGCCTACTGCAATGTACATACTTACTTACTGGCTTCTTTGCTGCATTGCATTGTATTTCATTAGAATGAAATTGAGTGCTTTACGGCCACAATTTACCCGACCCCACCCCACCGCAACGCAACGCAACGCAACCAAACTGACTGACGAGTGTATTTACTTCTATTAACCTTTACAAGTTCATTACGTTTGATTAACGTACTTGAACTCTATCACACAACACAATGCAATACAACAAAACACATACAAAATGCGAGTGTTTTCCAGCATTTATGGTTGTTTTTATATTTCTCTTTGGTGTTTTTGTTTTTCAATTTTTTTTATGATGATTTTTATTGTTTACAACTCCATATTTAGCATTTATTTTCTTTCCAGTCTTCTTGCAGTTTTTGTTGTTCTTGTTGTTTTTGTTGCTTTGTACGATTCGTTCAGCATTTGCTTGCCATTGGCAGGGAAGTTAGTCGTACGTGCATTTGACTTAATTTATGTTATGCTGCGCTAATGGGGCGTATATGCTAATTTTTTGCAATTTATGCAGCATAAAGTGAATTTACGTGCGATAGCTTGTGTTCTCTATGAATGACTTACAACAGACTAATAGACTAACACACACACACAGAGACATAGCCATAGATAGACTGAAAAATTAATAAACTAATAGGAAAGTACTCATTAACTCCTAAAAACTCATTATTTTTTGTGTTTATTGAAAGAACATAAATGGAAGTAACTTTATCAGCTTATGTTAATTTAAAGCTTTCTGTTTTGTAACTAATTTGGATATTATTTATTTATTATACGAGGAAGAATAACTATATTATGTGTTCATAATATCATTCTGAGAAAGAATGATTGATGTATTTAGTGTTGAATTTACTTGGGTTATTCAGAATTGGAATAAATATTACGAGGGTCACTATAACACTACCTGTGTTTTGAGCCTTGGCAGCACTGATTGCTGTCAGGTGTCAGTTGATGTTTCCATATGAAAGTTTGACATTATTAAACGTAGCCTACCTTAGAATTTTTGTCAAAAGAGCGTTACGAGTATTTGTGTTATTTAACGCTAAAAAATTTCGTACGATGATTTATTACAACTTTTGATTTTCGACGTGGATTATTAAGACAAGAGTACATCGATCAACTCCATCCTTTGCCACTGTGAAACGCTGGTACTCGTACAATGGTTTCAATCCTGGCCGTAGTTCGCTCACTGACCTCACTGAAATTCGTGAATGTCTTCCAAAATCAGTTGTTCTGCCAGAAAACATTGATGACCTGCAAAAACTGATTTGTGTAATGCAAGACCGTTAAGTCATATACTGTGAGATTGAGGCATTAATTCCACCAGATATATAAAATGTTGCACGATCATTTAGCTGTGAGAAAGATTTGTTCTTGTTGGTTCCTATCCCCCATCATTTGAAGAAAGATGGATCTCAGAAAGGTGCTCATGTCGATTGGTGCATATAAATGCTTAAGAAGTACAATGGCGTATATATACGCTTTAAGAGATGTATATAAGATTGTACGAGTAACGAATCATAGATATATGCGTATGAGCCGGAACGTGAACAGGAGTCGATAGTATGGAGGTTTCAAAATGAACCAAATCCAACAAAAGTTGTTGTTGCTCGAAGTACTTCAAAACAAATGGTTGGTTGTTTTTTCGGGAAACTCATCATGTGGCAACTGTGCCATTAGTAAAACGTAAAGTGGTCAATTTTGAATAGTATACAACCATTTGTTAACCGGAAGTCTTCAGTTAAATATTGAAAATAAACAAGCGCTGTCGGATTATTCTCTATCTCCTTCAAGACAACGCGAGTGCTCATACATCTCGTTTAACAACTGACTATTTGAACATTCAAAAAATCGAATTGATTAGTCATCTGCCATACAGACCTGATTTGGGGCCCAATGATTTTTTCTTGTTCTTGAACGTCAAAAATAAAATGCGCAAATAACAATTTTTGTCGGTGGAAAATCGGTGAACAACGATGTTTTGGAGGTATCTAAAAAAGGATTGCAAAAAATATGAAAAATGGTTCGAACGCATGCAAAAGTGTTTTAATCATAAAGGAGAATAGTTCGAGAAACATTAAAACAATTTTCAACGACAAGTGACCCTCGTTGAGTTTTCACGAAAAGGCTAAATAATTCTACTCATAATAATTCTATAGGTTTCCTGATCATTGCAGTGCTTTTCAAATAAATATCATCATTAATATAGAAGCTACAGCTTGTCTTGGATAATATATTTAATAGGAATATTTACGTACTACCAGACAGACGAGTTTAGTTCGAGTTATAGCCAGGACGGTTTTTTAGTGCTACACATTTCTGAATAAGTTACCGACTCAGTTTAACATTTTTCTACTTTGTGTTCCCGGTCATAGAGATATTATCGGCAACTGTATGGCAGACGAGCTGGCCAATTGAAGTGTTTCAATTAATCATTCGGTATACTTGAAGAATCTGGATATATTGCTGATATTATGCAAACATTTGTCAAATTCTTTCTGTGTTAAGTAATTTAATAAAAGATTAGAAGCCTCAACGATATGCAGGCTGCAGGTATACTGCACAGCGTATGATCGGCGGCAATTTTGGCCAACTCCAGGGCCTCCCTATAAAGAGCATAATACCCAAATTGGAATGGTAGGAATCACAATTTATTTTATATAATATTGCTGGAAAATGATTCGAATGGCGAGAATATAGTTAAAGATATGATATAATTTTAATTTAAATAATGCATTTCTAATATCAATGGGTACTCAGATAGACTTATAATATTACTTCACTAAAATTGGCTGTTCGGCTTGACTTGTTAGTATATCTATGTTGGTCTTAACATTTAAAATAAATTTTTAATTTTTTTAAAGTTAAATATAATATTGTTTGAATTTTTTGAATTCTTAAAACATTTTTATTTGCAAGCCAAGCAATTGCATATGCAAAAGTTCATTGTCATGGCAACTTCAGTTCATTTGCTGCGATGCTGGTTGCGGTTTATTGTTGCATGCACGAGTTCAGGTTACGCCTTGCCTAATTGCCTCAAAAATGCTCAAGTATTGGCTTTCAAAATTTATTTTAGATTTTACGAGACATTAAGTGACTGCCTTCACCAAGCAAACTGCAATGCTGGCATGCAACCTGAGCACTTCTCAAAGGGAATTCTTGTGAGTTGAATGTGAACTTTCAAGGTGACCATCGCTCTCAAATTATTCAAGAACTAACATTTTTTTGTTTTTCATATAATAATTTGGATAAATATGTGTGTATACATACAATTAGTATAATATCTAGTACTGTTTAAATAAATATAAATAATTCCACAAATACATGTAAGTTTTTGATTTTGAATATAACCTAGCTGGGGTTAAAAGCTTCACAGAGCGTATGAGTGACCGAAAAGAATATTACTTTTTTGATGAATTGAGATAAAATTTCTTAACTATTCGTACTGGAAATTAGTAGTCCCTTCTAAGCAAGGTTGGACTAGAATTCCTCGTGTAAAAATATTATTAAAAAAAAATGAACAGTAAGCCTCGGATATGGACTGATTATACGATCATGAAAATGAGAATGAAAAAGAAAATGGCGGACCCATTTGGGAGTTTTTTCATTACATATTTGTTTGCTACACAGCGCGACTAGCTATTCATCTAGCAGATGTTGTTTCACATTATATGTTATAGCTGAATGCAAACTATCGACTGAATGTAAAAATGTTACATACCGAGCAATATAAAATTCACAGAACGCAAGCACGAAAGAAAAAGTATATATAAACAGCTTACTGGATCCTAAAAGGGAAATTCATCGGGAAAAGAAAGAAACATTTAAGAAAAAATATATATGTGAAATAAAATAAATCGAAAAGAAAAGCTTTCAAAAGTTATCGATATCCAATGGTAAACAAGTCGAACTGATTAAACATAGAGGACCAAAACCACATCGGCTTGTGCATACATGTGAAAATCCAGAGATGCTCTCTCTCTCTCTGTCTCATATAGGCTTGATCTGTTCCATACATTTAGTAACTTAGATCCATAAAAAAGTTCCTTAAAAACTATAGCAAATGTATAATAAATTAAAAAATTAATAATTGCATTATTAACTTGGAGCAGAGATGATCATCTGGAGCACCGCAGTCGTTAAAGCACAAGAAAGAAAAGGAAGGCTATATTCCGTGTTTGATTTTGAAAAAAATGGAAAATATTTGTAAGAAGCTGAAAAGTATGAATAGATTTAATAAAATGTGATTTTTTAAATTCAAAAATCAAATGCCACATTGATCAACCAGAAACTCGATAAAAAAAACAACTGAGTTTGTCACTCTAAAAAGCGAATAAGGAAAACACTTCGCACTGAAATAAGTAAAAAAAATTTGC